CATCATAATGACAGTAGGTTATCTCTCATCTTACAGTCTCTCTACCAACTACCTGATGCCACTTTTTTCAGGGCTAATGTGTCAATAGAAAACTGGTGAATGTGTTGTTACACACGTTCCTTGTAAATACATGAGTGTAAATCCTGTGTGGTCTGTCCATCATATTTTCTACTTAACAGATGTTTGCATTTCTCACGCCCTGAGATTGCTTTTAGTTTCAAGGCCATAATACGGGAAACATTTCGTGCCTCCTTTGCTTGAAGTTGTCTTTGCTTCTCTCCATTTGGCTTTTCCTGCTGCAGAAATGGTAAAAGTAGGACAATTAACCTGTTTTTTTGTATTCTTTTACAGCAACTGCTAAGTACATTTTTATATAGCTGCAGTCATGAATCCTTCCCACACCAATTAATACACTTTTGATGGCGCTTTAAAAGGCATTTGTTTTATCAACAACTTAATCATGTAGATAGTCCACATAGTTTACAAAGAACACTTAAGGAGGAAAGACTGGCAGATGAAAAATCCCAGGTATGTGGTATTTAGTGTAATAGGCAGATCTTGACTTGTCATTTAATTACTATACAAATGAAACAAGCACTCAAAATGGAGAAATAGTGTGTCAGAAACTGATTTATGATGTACACAGATATATGGTACATGGTTCAAAGATCTTAGCAGAATGAACTGAAGAACAGTCCAGGTGTAAGGTAAGAACAGTTCTTGCTTATTAATGCTTCAAAAAGGCATTGAAAAAAATGTTTCACCTTTACTGTTAGAAATAAGTGGATGTAGACTTAATACCCATTTTATTTCAGAATCACTCTGTAAGAAAAGAAAATCACAGTGCAGGAAAATAAATAAATATACATTTTTTAAAATCTTGGAAAGATGTTCTAACATTCTGTTGTTCTAAAATATGTCTTCCTAATTATCTGTAGAGAACTATTAATCACATTCAGAAACACAAAGCATGAGCACATTATCACAGGACACACATTATTTGAACTTATTTGTGATACTTGACCAGGGCAAGGCACTGAGTCCTTCGTAAATGAGATATTGTGAGGAAATACAGCTTTTAGTGAAGGAAGCGTTAACTACTTAGTAGTTAACTACATAGTACTAACGTACTATGCTGTTGCAGCAGGCTAAGAATACACATGCAGACAATGGCTGCATACCATCTGTTGCACAGTAACCTGCTGACATGCAGGTTCAGGTGTCAAGAATGGCACAGGGATAGCACAGCTTTATCTCCCAGAAGAGATGTGTACTAGGTGACTCCTTGGAATTCCTCCTACTCCTATAATTCTATCTACTGTTCTGAAGGGAAGCTAGTTGATGAAATGCCGTCTGAATATGGCAGAAATTCAAAGCATGACTGTTTGGTGCCATAGTCTGTTTAAAGCGTAAGTTCCTGCACATTTAATTTATTTTAATTTTCATACATTAGGACATCCTAAGTGTGCATCACTCAACCATGTTTCTAGAATTTATTGGAATTGTCATCCCTTTTCCTTCCCTTCTCTTATTTATTGCATTTTACTTACTGCGTAAGTTTTCGGCCACTGTGCCCATGGGTACCAACATGCCTTGCCCTAGAGCTGGACTCTGGCAGTGATCTGGACAATAATACAGATGATGAATACATAGATTGAGTCATGAAAAAGATGTTAAAATGGCTAACTCCATTAGTTAAAATGGTTCACTTTCCATTGAAAGTTAGTTACATGTAAAGCTAACATGAATTAATGTCATATATTAGTTATACAAAAGTTTAGGTAAAAATATGCAAAAAATAGCTATATGAATTTACGTACATGTAAAACTAACGTGAATTATCACTGTTTAAAATTTCCCTCATGTTAATGATTCTCTTCATACTTACTAACCTGCTGGGAGATTAAATTACATGTAGTTTCCATTCTTACAGTTGAAAGGGTGCGAAATGCATGACAGTTTTAATGCCTTTTCCCCAGAAAGCCCTGCAGTACTCTTCAGGGAGTCTTGTATCAACAGATGGGTACAGGTACAACTGTGATGGACCTGACTAAATCACAAATACGGCAGTTGCAGCAAGGCAGTCTAACAGAAAATTTACCTTAGTTGTGAAGTAGTGAATTACTGCCCTCTCTTTTAAGAAAATTTGCTTTCTGCGATCAGTTCCTGATGACATCATACACCTTCTTTGTATTTTTGCAAAAGGACTGAATGCCTTAAGAGAATACTACTTAAAGTGAGATAGCCATGCATTGTATTCTTGATAGGTGTTAACATTGCAAGCACAGTAGAATGCTGACCTGTCAGGTTTACTCTGTGTCTTTTCCACTAGAGAAACAACATTGTGCTGTAGTAATATAAACCAGACAAAATAACATGAGGAATTGAAGGTATTGAAGTAACCACACTTATAAATGATGCTGTATTTATCCTTTTGGAAAAAATACATAATCCATGTAGGCCATTGTTTTCTAGTTCATCCTAGTTTGTGTCTTTTCAGCAAACAGCCATCAATGCTTTTATTTTTCTTAAAGTATAAATCATAGAAGCAAACTCACCTGCTTATTAACTTGGTCTCTAGAGATTTTGAATGTTCCTAGCCTGATGAATGACCCACTTAATTAGTGTGTGTATATATGCACACATTATTTGTCTCTTCTGTTCATTGTGGAACAAAGAATTTCTGTGGAAGAATCTCTTGTGCTATTTTTCATATCTTAGCAGAGGCAGTACATTTGAATGATTCAGTGGTGTCAGCAAGGGGTAACTGCAGTTCAGTTACTGACACGTTAATTTGGTTTAGCAATGAAACTAAGGAAAATACCCACTTGGAAAAGTTTTAAGTTGAGCTGACTGGGGTATTCTAAAGATGGTGGACAATTTTTCGGGGGGGGGGGGGGGGGGGGGAGGGCAGGGAATATTTAAGTTAAAAGCTTTCCTGGCAAAGTTCAAAGTAGCACTGAAACACTTCCTCTTAAAAAAAGGAATACTTTTGTTGTTCGTTGACAGTATAATGATTTTGAGTGTGTGATATAACAGACCTCATTATTTCAGCTATATGAAAATCTACACTGTTGCATTTGATATTGCATGTGAAGTTGAAAAAACAAACCACTCCAAAAATTACATCTGTGGGCAATTTTTTTAGACCCTTTGTTCCAGGCTATGTCCATGGTCAGTTTCATTGTACTATGTAATGCAGCACTTGTTAATAATGATTTAGCGTGAACGCAGTGAAGTATGTGCTTTTGTGTTTAGAAATGACATTTGCATCTAAAGTAATGTAAGAGAGGAGAAGGGAAAAGGGAAGAACTGGGTTGTAAAAACAGAATGGTTAGTGACCGAGGAAGGCTGGTGAGTGATGTAGTTTTGAGGTAAAATAGCAGGAAAATGCCTCGGATTGTAATCTGCCAAGAGCTATCTGCATCTAGCGAAATAGGTGAGTTCCTTGCTGAATAATTCAAGAGGACTTAATTTCCAGAAGAAAGACTCTGAAGCTCAATAAAGGAATTTTTTATCTTTCTAGAGAGTTACTGGTTTTGAAAAGGGAAGAAAAAAACGTGGTCAGTCTTTGTGATTTAGAGGAGGAACTTAAAATTTCACTGTGCTTGCAGTTTTTGTTACAGAAGTGAGAATTCATGATCCTCATGAAAAATTGAATTTGGCCAAGACATAAGCCTCTGAGGAATACTGCTGTCTGTGTACTCAGTAGGAGCTTCACTGTTTTTAACATCCACAATATTTGAAGATTCTTGTTTCAGTCAGCTGACCAGATCTCTTCACAGAAATAATTTGCTGTGCTTTTATGCCAGATTAAAGGTGCTAAAATGGATTTTCACTCTGAAGATATACCAAATTCATATTGGATTAGAGTTGGGAGAGGAAAAGGAAACTAGAATAGAAGAACAGAAAATGGGGACTATCTACTTAATTTAGCATAGGTATGTGGATGTGTGTATATGTATATACACACACACATACATATAAAGAGTGTGAATACGTGCATATATGTGCATATGTATATAGAGAGGTGTTTGTATACATTTGTGTAAGTGTACATATATAGAGGTATATACAGACTGTGTTGCAGTACCAGAGTGCTATGCAGTTCTAAAGGTATGTGGTAACAAACTGTACCTCTATCTATTTTGTGCTGTCTCACTTCTAGGGCATTCTGTATTGCCACCTGCAATGAATTAAAAGGGAGTCTTCTATTAAAATAGGTGAAATTAAAAAAAAAAAAAAAAAACAACAAACCCACAACATTTTAGATCTTTTGCCTTCTGATTCTTCAACTTCAATCTGTATTTTAAAGGTGCTCCATGCAATCTCAAGGTTTGGGAATGTATTCATAAAATTAGAGAGTCTCACTGAACTGGATGAACATGTACTATTGTGTTTCTTGTAATAAAACATGGGAGTTGGCAACAGTAAAGACTTAAGACCACCAAGAAATAATGTATTCCAAGTAACCTTGAAGAAAACCTTGCAAGTCTTAATATTGAAAGAAATACAGAAGATGACTCATACGAAATGTGTGGGAATGAACAGATATTACAAGTGTAAGAAATCTCATTGTTTCTTATAATCAGTCTGAAGACACAAGAAACTAACTATAAATCTCTGCTGACTTTAATCCCTTGACAGAAATAATTCCTGCCTTTCTCTGTTCTTCCCAGTTTTCTAATTCCTCTGAGAGGAAACAGACTGAGACGATACAACTTCTAAAATATGGAAGCATTTATATAAATTATTGTAGCCATTATTCAGGAAATAATTTGCTTGTGGAACAAGATAATAGGTTTTTGATTGCAGTTTGCTACATTGTAGCCGTAGGTGAGCTATGCCAGCTTTCTTTCTTAATTGTTGTTTTTCTCTTTTTTGTTGTTGTTTATACTTGATGTATTTAAAGAAGGTACATTTTCCCCACAATTTATGCAACAATCAAATGCGGTTATCAGTATATTATATTTTAAATTATTTTTTTCTTTTTTTAACAGAAGGAAGGAGAGAAAAATCACAAAGTCCGACTAGCAGTTGGAAATGGAGTAAGAAATGATGTATGGAGAGAATTTTTAGACAGATTTGGTGCTGTTAAGATCTGTGAGTTTTACGGCGCTACTGAAGGAAACATTTGTTTCATGAACCACACAGGAAAAATTGGATCTGTTGGACGCACCAATTTCTTTTATAAGGTGATTATTTATTTACATTGTACTTTGTAAAAGGGAATGCTGAAGGTAAATGTGTTTCTCAGTTTGACCACAGGACATGGGGCTGCAGTCATAAGTCCAAGGTAAGTTTTCTAACTTAGTTATTGCAAGTTTAATTGAGCCTCTGTAAAATCCTGGCTGCCAAAGTATTGCAGATAGTGCTTAGCACCCAACCCAGTTATACTTTCAGCAGTAACACTTAGATTTTTCTTTAAGTTCATAAGAGTCAGAAAGGCCTTGCCTCTCTTCTGACAGTTTTGAGTAGGTTCCAAGTATCATTTCAAATCTCTACTGTATTAAAGGACAAAAGAGGAAGTTGGATTTGTTTTAATACCTATGAAATCATCATCTGTGAAATAAACATACAAGTGTCCTGTTCTGACTTAGTGTTCTACAGATTATATTTAGAGCTGTTTTAAAAGAGTATATTTATATTGCACATTACTATGTAAATATTTGGCATAAATGGGAATTAATAGTAATTAAAATAAAGTAACACATAGGCAGATACAACTTTAAGAGATATTTTATACCTAGGTGCAATTAAACATATATAACTCAATTGAACTACTCTACATCTGGTCTGTATCATTATTCAGAAATGTCAAAGATAATACAATACAAATATAATCACTGTTGAATAATTGTGACAGATAATACTTGCCAAGGATATTAATTTCAAAATTCTATGCCCCTTCATCTACCAAGTCTGCTGTATTTATTTGGTTTGTTCTAGGTTACTAAAACTAGAAAAAACAAACATTTTTTTTTCACTGCTTATTTGACAGTCTCTTTTGTATTTCATCAGCTTTGACAATGGAAGTTATATGTCTTGGGGAAGAGGAATACATATTGTTTATATCAAACATGGTGGCTTTTAATGTATCCTTCTGAGTAAATGAAGAAGAATTTATTTCCACTTAAAATTCACAGATAGATTTTTCCCTTTGGGTCCTATTAATGCCATCTCTTAAATGGTTTGAGACGTCAGTAAGTAACATGTGTCCCAAGCTTTAGCTAATAATATGAAAGATTATTTAGCAAGGCTTTGTAGCAAGGAGAATAGATATTTAACATTATGCTGTTATTTACGCCAATTTTTACTCTTCTTGAAATAAATAGGACTACACACGTTGCCTAGAATGTGCAAATTAACTGAGATACCTATCTATACTGGGATACCTATCTATCTGTACAAATCCTGCTGACTTAAGTGGCATTTGTGCTCCTGAGGAGAACTGATAGTAAAATGTCCTGACAAAACTTTTTTTCAGGGGAAGATGTAAAAATATTGTTTGGAAATAAATCAGAAGTATCTTCTGATGATGTGCAAATAGGTTTCTAGGCAGCATATGTTCCAGGGTCCACAACTTCAAAAAAAAATTATCATCACCGCAGACTACTTCGCAACTTGGGGCCAGAGGAATTCTTCCCTTCTGGGATAGGAACCCAGACTGCAGGGAGGAACCTGGAAACACTCAGAAAAACACCACAAGAGCTAGTGTGTTTTTCAGAAACTGTTGAGGGCTCAGGAATTTAAGCAGACCGACTCTGCTGATTCTCTGTTCTACATGACTGGTGCTCTGTAGTATGCATGGTGCTGATGGATGTCTCTATAAGGGTACAGATCCACAACAGGAAATCAGGAATCTGGAATTTAGGGAGTCGTAGATGAACCAGGAACCTTACAGCTGATGTTAATTTTTGTTTCAGACTCTTCTAAGCCACATGCTTCAATTATTTTAAACCTTTTTTTTTTTTTTTCAATCTTACGAAATTTTGCATTTGTTTCCAACCTGAGCAAACTTGTTTTCAGTGTTTCAGAACTTTTGACAGAGTTTTGTCATAAGTCATTAACCTTTTGGAAATACCATGTAAAGGTTACAGCAAATAAAGGATTAGACTTGAAACTACCTATTTATTGATTTAATTATCTGTATTTTTAAACAAGTAGTGTGGGGGGTTTGCATGTATTAATAGTGGCACTTCATATGTTGATAACATATGTTGTTAGTGTTTCCAAAAGGAAGATTAGTATTTTGGGGTTTTTTGCACATGAAACATGCTACTTTTTCCTCTTTAATGATTGGACTTATGATTTGAGTTAGTCACTGCAGATTAGGAGAAAAAATAGCTCATGCAAACTGCAATTAAAAAATAAATGCAGTTCTAACTGAATACTTGATCTCACTAGACATCTTTTCTATAATTTATATACTATTCCAAGTTGGAACTGTTATGGTCTATGGAAACATCAGTATAGTCTGCTAAGATAATTATGGATTGTCCCCTTGGTTACTATATTCATACTCAGTATGAATATAGAAAGACCATAAGATATTTTATGAAGTGGAATAAGTCATTCATTCCATTTGGCTTGGCTTGAAATCAATTTTGTTCTGTCTTTTTCAATACTCTTTTTTCCCTAGAAATAAATCTACAGTAAGTCTTCAGTTATTTCCATAGTTTCTGTCATAAGGAAAGTAGCTAAAGCACATTATTTGTGAGCAGACTCAATATTTAGCTACTACCATTCTCCAAGGGGCTTGAGGTGTATTAGCTCCCAGCCCTTCCCCCAATGTATATACATTTGGCATTCTATGACTGTAGAGCTTGAGGGAAGAATGAAGGTTGTCACTGAAAACCAGATTCAGTGCAGAGACAAACTACCTCACCTTGGTTACACAGGCATGGTATGTCTAGCCAGGTCAGTGGGTGGATTATATGACGCATTTTATCTGGAAATAGAACGGCCCCAAATCTCTTCCAAATCAAGGTTTCAGAGTCTACTCCAAAGCTCCATCAGGAGGTTTTTCATAAGTGATATGCTTTGATCCAGAGCATTTATGGTTGTGTGACATACATGGTCTCTCTCTCTCTCTGAAAGAATTTGTGTCAGTGGAACAACATGGCATATTAACAATATTACAGTAGTTACATGTCTCAAATTAACAGTTCTGCAATCTGTTAACTACTGGGGCTCTGCTTCTGTCACCAATGCAGTTCCTCTGGATGGCAGTTCCTTCAGTCTGCTTCATGACACTTGTTTGGAGGAGCAGCTAGCTTCCTCATGTGCTGAAGCAGAGTAGTTTTGACATGAACAAGGGCTTAGGTACAGTACAGTTTCAGAAAAGTCTAGAAGAGGTTAAGAGAGAGAAGGAATGTTGAAAATATCATGAGACATACTTTTTAGTGGATTTTTTTTTTAAAGGTACATGTTTAAACAAATACTTAAGTTCGGGGACCTTTTATGTGTGTTTTTGATTACTCTGCAATCTGTGAGTATTGTGACACAACTAACTATGTATTTTAATGCCATATATAAATTCCTTTCGACTTCATTCAGGCATTTGTTGGTTTTTTTTAAATACATTTTACAGGTTACAGATTATTAAACAATGCATTCTGAAGTGTAGCTGTGGTGTAATATGTTAAGGAGAGCAGCTTTATTTCTGATTTGCTGACCCATGAATGATCTGAAGTTGGAAGGGGAGACTGTCTCCTGCTGGAAAGCAGAGAATGGCACAGACAAGGCCCAGCCATCCAATTCCTAATTATTTTTGTTTCTTCAAAGAAATGCTACAACAACTTCTGAAACATTATTCTCTTGACACATGGGACGATATGAGGAGATACCCTTAGACATACTCTCTAGGGCTTTCCTAAACACCTATTTCTTAAACTAGGAATAGAAAGAAAGAGAACTGAGAAAGAGGAAAAGAGGCTTGTGTGTTCATGTATGTGATACAGTAACGGAGAGGGGAGAAACTTACTCTCTTTCTACTGGCATAATTGCACAGTTGGAATGAAGTAAATGCAGTATGAAAACCTATACCTACAGATATTGAAAGTATAGTGGGAATAATAGCAGATAGGTTCAAAGTATAATATTTTTAGCAAGGAAAAAGGAAAAGAAATAGGAAGGCATTTCTGTTGTAGGTAATGGCAATGGCACAGTTTCTAAAGGTGGAATGCAGACAAAAGTTACAGCTTTAAAAGACAAATTGAGCTCTCAGAATGAGCAAAGTAACTTTTCTGTCAGTCACTGCCAAGGGTTGGGGTCAAATACTTGTGATAAATATTAAGGTTCTACATAACACATTTATTTTCATAAATAATTTGGAAGACACAAGTTAATAGGAAGAAACAGATGAATGTTATAGCAGTTGCCAGACATCCAAGAAGCCAGTGTGTGTGAGATGTTAACTCGAAGCAGTGCTCTTGTTTGCACTTGTTTATTTTCACACTATACTCTTTATAGAGGGATTGGTTCATGCGCTTGAAAGCATCACTGTGGTATATGAATAAATCCTTCAATAAGGATGTTCATCTAGAGTCCATGAACAGAAAGTAGAAGCCTCGGAATGGCTTGTTAGCTGGTAAAACTAAAAATGTTTTACAAAGAAGATAGTGTATAGATTAACATAGTAATATAATAAATTACTGTTTAATATTTACATCTGGCATACTTATGTAGTTAATATTATTAACTTTTATTAAGTTTAATTTTATTATATATGACATATATTATGTGTGTATATAAATGTGATATGGGAAAAATCTGTGAGACTCTCGTGTCTATCAAATATATATATAAATCTGTTTCTTACACTGAAATAAATTCTAAGTGATGGCAGAGAACATGCAATGGGAGAGTGAGACTGATGAGATCCAAGGAAGCTTGTAAGAAGGGCTAAAAATGACCCATGGCAAGTACACCTGAAAAAACAGCATGTAAAAAAAAATATTCCAAACTTTATTTATAAATGTATTTTTTCATTATTTTAAGCATAAGTATTCCAACTAAATCTCTCTTGCTCAAAACTGTATGGATCAAAATCAGCTTTGAGCTGAGAAACATTTAAATCTTACAGCAAATCATAAATCATTTCAACATATAAAATATTTTGTCTTTCACACAGCAACACAGAATTAGTATTTTGCACTTTTTTCATACAGTCATAGAACTTAAGTGGCAGAAGCAATACTTTTTAGTTTAAAAGTAAACAAAGTTAGGTGTAAGCAAATCTTAAGACCCTGGAAAACTGGATTCACAGGAGGAATGTTGGCATGTGTTAATCCAAGCAATGGAAGCTCTTAAGTTCATTGGCCAATGAAAATTAGTGTTGTTTCTGCTCTTTTGACTAGTTTTGAGCTAAAACAATCTAAGATACTTCAAGTGTATTCCAAAGTATTCCATTATAATATGTGGTAATCAATTAATATCAAGCACTGCTTTAAAAGGTTTTTTCTTGGTTTTGTTTACTTTGGCTAACAAAACTATGCAGAGGACCTATACATCTACTCTTTACAGCATAAAGAAGGCATTACAAGTATATTTTTAAAACACTTATAAGATATGACGATATTATGCTCCAGAATTTTTTTTTCCTTACATTTCACTTTTTTAAGACACTTAGAACTAAATCTAGTAAATGTAATGCTTTGTTTTATAAACATATATTCTCTTACAGAATTCAACAATATCTCATCTCTAAAACAAATAATTAAATAAAAAGCAATAGCTTGTGATCTTTTTTCTCTGATGAAGGTTCTGTGAGCATTCACTATAAGTTGAAACTTTAGGAATTTCAAAACTATTTTGAAAACAATATTTAAACTCACATATTTCCAGTCAATTAAAAAAAAAAAACGGGTGTGCGATGCTGTTATTAGATAACATCCAGGCAGCATAGTAACAGACAATAATGCTGCAGTTTAACTCATTTTAGGTTTCAGCTAGATAAAGGATGCTTTTTGTTTGATACATTTATGTGGTGCTTTAGCGAGTAAAATGTAGATTAAAGTGGTGAATCCTGCATGCAGTACTCTGTGAAAATAATATGGTAATGCTTCAACAGCTCAGGCCCTCTTTTCCAATAAATTTTAAATAATGAGATAAAACAAATGTAGGCCTGTACCCAGACTAAATGCTTTGCTCTGGAGCTTTCATTTTCTAGTATTTAATATGAAAAGAAAGCTGTTTGCACAGAATGTATATTGGCATAGTTCCATTCTGCATGTCTAATGCAATATGTGGTTTTTTTCTCCTTGTAATTATGTATTTGTATGACTATTATTTCAAAAAGCTAACTGGAATAGTCATAGTTAATACTCTGAAGTTGCAGGCACTGAAAGATGTATGCAGCAACATAAATAGTAAAAGTCTCAACAGTTTTTAGATGATCTCGGATACTAAATTAAAGTTTCTGAGTATTTATAACAACTTTAAAATAATGCATCATATAGACTAATACGTTGACAAGATAGAGCTATTGAGCTCTGAAGGAATGAACAGATAAAAATGGAACTGAACAGGGCACACCACTGTTCTAATCAAACACAGAAAAATCAGAATAACATTTCATTTTATACCATTTTATTCTTACTATTTATATTATTCATTGCATTTGGTCTGTCATAGGAAACTTATTAAGTGGCAAATATAAATGTAAAAAAGAAAGTGAAGAAGAACAGCAGTTAAATGTAGACAACCAAAAGAAAAGACTCTAAGAAAAAATTACTTGTGTTTGTTATGAATACCTCCCATTCTGTTCATCAAGAATAATACAATTCTTTTCTAATTAAGTTGAACTTTTTGGCTCTCAGATTCTTGAATTTGATAAATGCTATAGTCTGTAGTTATTAAAAAAAAAAACAACACTTCGCTTTATTCAAAAAGTGTCCATTTCTTGGATCATGGCTTGGTTTTGCACGCAATGACCTTGTTCCTTTGATCAACTGTTAAAAATACCTTTTTGTTTCAGGCCTAGGGTAGAAGGAAAACACAGTGGTGAACGTTGAAAAGACTTGGTGAAACAAGTTTGTCCATATGAGGCTGAAATTGTGTGCTTGATGTTTGATTCAAGTTGGTATTTATTCAGACTTTCTTGAAAACAAAATGATGTGATATAGCTACAGCAACATTTCAAGTTAGGATAAAATAATTATGCAACTCTTCATCTAAATTAGTTGCAGAAGAGCAAAGGGGTTTATGTTTTAGCATCCTACCCTTTACTTGTCGCTTTCATAATACCATCCTTAAATTATATTGCATTTCTTCATTGTGAAGCGTGCAGGTGTATGTTCATATGTTTTTAAAATTGTTTTCTCTGCTTGCCAAGATTTCTCCAGGAGAAGATAACTGTATATCTTTGGTTTGACTAGTTGTTAAACAGATTTCTGATACACTTCTTTATGAAAAGGGAAATCAGAATCCCAAGCTGGGCAAACTGAAGCCTCAGGATAATAACTGCAAACACAGTGGTCCATATAGTATCAGGCATATGACATCTGCCAATGTCTCTCAAAGGTCTAATTTGGATTTATATCACAGTAGAAAAATGAAGTGAAGTAAGAGTTAGACCCTGTATATTGGAGAAAAAAAAGTATTGCGATTTCTAGTTTTGATAAGAGTATCTTGCCCTCTCCTTCACCTTACTCAGAGCCACATTCTCTGTGGTCCTTATACAAGAGGAAGATTAGTTGTAAAACATAACTAGGAGGTCAGTTAGGTCAGCAGTGTCAGGACTCAAGGGTTCACAGTATTTTGGAAAAATGCAGAACTAACTCTGACATAACTGTGGAACATGCACAGCTACATAACCATGTCAAATGACATGGGAGTACGTATCCTTCTGCTGGTGCTCACGATAAGACTTTCCACCATACACCTGCCTGAGAAAGCTTGAGGGAAGAACTGAGGCTAGTTAAGAAAGAGTAAAGCCCAACAGGAAGTAGGTTTCCCTTTGTAAGGAGATTTAGGCCTTTGCTTTGTCAGTTGTTTTAGGTGCCAGAAGACCCCAAGAACACTTTTCATAATAGCCACCACCATTAAATGTCAGTTAAATTCCAGATACGTTTGTGTTATCCTGACTTATGTAGGCTTTTCAACTGATATGTGGATCCCATAACTTATTTGTAAGAAAATTAACAAACTTATGGTTTTATGTCTTCACCAAGTATTTTTGAAAGTTACAAGATTATAAAAATGCTTTGATGTTGCTTACCTCCAGGACATGGTGTAAGTTTACATACAGAGTATTTTCAGTTTTAAATGAAACTACATTCTTCTTTTAGATAAGCAAGACTGGAGTAAAGGTTTCTTTGCTTATATTTGCTGCCACCAGATGTCACTGTGTAGATGAATAACTGATGACCCTTTTTCCCTTTTTTAGCTTTTTTTCCCATTTGATTTAATCAAGTATGATTTCCAAAAAGATGAACCGATTAGAAATAAGCATGGTTGGTGTGAAAAAGTTAAGAAAGGTAAGTATGTATTTCAATAGGATATAATGGCCTTTTGATTGTAATACAAATACTCGAGAATTTTTTTAAGAAGCCTTGCTATTGTGTTACTGTAACTATGCCAACATCAACTATTACTCTTTGCCTTGACAAAAGCAATATGATTTTTGATCTAAGACAGAGTATTATTAAACATACCAGTGCTGACACCAGAAGAACTTAGGAGATCCTTGGATATATTCACAGAAGAGCAATGTTCAAAAGTGATGATGTGATATTATCTCTGAATATGTAGATAATGACATCTGTGTTTTTTAAAGGAGATTAACATAGTGAGGTGGTTCCTAAGAGATCTACAAGAAAGACTGGTGGATTAGAGCAAATGCTTTTTGGTGAGAGATTAAGTGTTCCTAAGTTAGTTGATTAAACTTATCGATTCATTTTTTTTTTAAAAGAGGTTGCTTGATTATAGCTGTCTTCAAAATACTTATCAAATATCTAGTACCTCTTGATTATACCTATTTTCAAAGTGTTTATCAGATACTGAATCATCTCAGTTGTACTGTAGGAAGGTAACAGCTGTAATTAATGCCTGGAAGCTGAAGCAAGAAAAACTCATGTTAAAGGTCAGGCAGACAGCTTTAACAGGGAGCTTGGTTCCTGGTCTTGTAAAATCGTATGTAGCAAATTAATATTAAGGTAAAGTACAGGAAATGTGCAATGATACCTTAGGTTTACATTCTTTCAACTTCTCTGTATAGGTGAGGCTGGTCTTCTCATTTCCAAAGTCAATGCGAAGAACCCCTTCTTTGGTTACGCTGGCAATAAGAGACACACAGAAAAGAAATTACTCTGTGAGGTATTTAATAAGGGAGATCTTTATTTTAATACTGGAGATCTAATGGTTCAAGACCATGAGAATTTTCTTTATTTTTGGGACAGGATTGGAGATACCTTCAGGTATAATAATTGTTTCTTTTCACATTTCTTCATTAAAAAACATGGACATGTAGAATAAAATAATACTGTTCTATTTGTTTTCAACCAGAAGTGTTTGGTTTATTACTATTGTGATGTAGTTTATAATGATCTTGAAGTGGATGATAGGGGCTTAATTTTGTAAAAAGTGTTCCCATGGAGCTGGATAGCTCATTTCCAGAATGTTTTGTAGGAATTACAGCTCTTTGAACAGTCATTCCGATAAGCATAGTAACTGGTGATGGTTTTGCTGCAAGCAAGGAAGTTGGATACTGAAGTGGAGAAAAATGTATCATATAGTAAAGACTGGTCACATTTGATACGTTTAGATACATGTCAAAATTTTGAAAGCCATTATATCAGATTATGATAAGCTTTCATTGTGCTTTATAGTGATAGCTAATATCCAGTACCATTTGAATTGCAAGTGTTGTCTTCTGGTGATCAGATCAATATACCAACGTGACAAGTGGGAAAAAATTTGAGGTGTTGTTAGTCTGAAATGAGTGGAGTTCCTACTAAAGTTAATGTTTTTTAAAGAGGAGGTGTCCATACCTTTTCATGGGATTAAATTTTTTCACATTTTAGATGGAAAGGGGAGAATGTTGCAACTACAGAAGTTTCTGATGTCATTGTAATGTTGGACTTCATACAAGAAGCAAATGTGTATGGTGTATCTGTGCCAGGTAAAAGAACCTTTAGCCGTATGCTTTTCTTCCCCTAAGTTAGTTGTTAACCCTCATAATTCTTTTATTTCATGTTTTTAACCTATGAATCACTTCTGATTGAGTCATCTGTTTAATACCTAGTTAAAATGTAGATGTAGATAATGAAAATACCACCAGATTGTGAATGAGCCAGTGAATCATGCATTTTTATGTGTATGCAGTGATGTGTATTTTTGAAAAGTTATCTTTCATGAATTTGTGATAGCTACATAATCTAAATTAAAGTATAAAGATTTATTAAGTTCACATCCATGGAAAATCCACACATCCGTGTGTCAAAATAAAATGTCAACAAGGTGAGAATTAAAGTAACTCTAAAGGAAAATGTATGAAGACATTCTTCTGTCTTATTTCACTTTTCACTTAGCCTAATAAACCATCTGTAAACGGATATATTATAAAACGAAGGAAAAGGTGAAGAAGAAAATGAAGAGAAAAAAATTATTAAGAAAGAAGATACATTAATCTCTTTTTTAATAATTTTTTTTGTTAATTTTCATGAGATCATCTAGGCTTTATTCCCATTCATGCTAAATCTTTTTTTAAAATGTGTACTAGGTCTGGCTGGGATAGAGATAAGTTTCTTTATAGGAGTCCGTATGGTGCTCCACCAGTTGCATTGATGGCTAAAACAGCGTTGATAACTTACCAATGTCTGGCTATCGCTGAACGAAGCTTGCACATTATAAAGGCTTTCTCCCTGCAGTGAGTATGCTGGGGGCGGGCAAGAAGTTAGGAGCAGATGTAGAAGGGACGGCGGGCCCAAACTGACCAAAGGGATATTCCATATCATATGATGACATGCTGAGTAATGAAAGCTTGGAGAAAGGAAGAGGGTGAGATGTTTGTGGTTATGGCATTTGTCTTCCCAAGCAACCACTGCATGTGCTGAGTGAGGGCCTGCCCTGCAGGAAGTAGTTGGACATCTGCCTGATGATGGGAAGTAGTGAATGAAGTCCTGGTTTTGCTTTGCTTGTGCACAGAGCTTTTGCTTTCCCTATTAAACTTATGTTATCTTTATACATGAGTCTTCTTGCTTTCCTTCTATTCCCTTCCCATCCCATGGGAGAAGGGAGTGAGTGAGAAGCTGGCTGGATGTTTAGTTGTTGGCTAGAGTGAACCCACCACAAAATTATAAAAGAGTTTAAAATGTGAAAAAGGTGTCACTTACCTCTAGTTTAAAGCCACACAACAAGAAAGATCATAATAAAGAAGACTGACTGAAAATCAGACTCAAAAATATGATTCCTTCTCATTTCTTATACAACATTTACCTGCAGATTCCTACCCAGTTTATACGACTGTCTTGATAATTGCACTTAAACATAAATCAATAAAGTTCCTCACAGATTTTGTGGCATTAGCAAAAAAAATATAGAAAGGAGACAAAAGAGGAGGTTGGCAGAATGTCTCTGCTGTTATTACTAGCTGATGGTTAAAGTGTGCAGTTATTTTTTATTGCTGAAGTTCATTGCTTTTATATTTTACCCATTTTGGTCTTTCTCGTAGACCCACAGTGCTCTCTCTTTCCAGACAAACCAGTAAGAACTTTTAATATATCTCTCTCTGTTAACAACATTCAGATCCATAGTTTTGAGAGAAGATGCTGGCAAGAGAGAAAGGCTAAAACTGAAGAGAAGATATAATTGGCTAATCCAGCAAAGAGTCTCAGCAATGTTGTTTTTGAGAGAGGAATGGTGTTGATGTTTATCCACATTTATTGATTAATACTGAGCATGGGACTCCATTTACTTTTACGTGCCAAACTCATTTACAGCATTATTGCTTAACTGATCACTTGAGTGATCCCCGAATATATGTAATACCATGTAAAATATGAATGTAATCTTCCAGCTTTATTGAAACTCAGAAGATGATATATGACTGCCAGTTTATTAATGCACTACAATTCTTTTTTGTAAGGTTCATCACTAAAATGTCAACTTTATTCATGTTTCAAAATTCTTATCTTACTTCCTTTCCCCCAGATCATGAAGGAAGAGCAGGAACTCTCTTATTTTAAAGCAGAATACATCATTAGACTTGGAGCAAATGTATAAGCAAGTAGTGACCTATCTACCAAGTTATGCTTGTCCTCTTTTTTTAAGAGTCCAGGTAAGCTGCATTATTGCACAGTGTGTAGTGTGTACAAACATTACATCATTTGAACACAGAGATGGCTAAATGAATAACAGAAAGTACTTGTTCATATGTCACTTGATTAGTTTTAGAACTGGTCCTATTTGCTCTCTTCATTAATGGAGTTCTGGGAAAGGAATTACAGAAAAAGTAAATAAAATTTGCAGATTATGTTAAAACGGGAGGAATTGTATAAATAAGTAAGGATAGAGATCATACAAAAGGATTTAGGGAAATTAGAAGCATGAACATGGGAAAACAAAAAGATTCAGATAAGTAAAATGTGAACAATTGCACCTGGAGAAAATAATCTAAAATCCATTTTATTCAGTGGAAATGAGAGAAGGGAGAAGTAGAGCTAAAGCAGGAGACACTGATGGTGCACAATAAAAGAAATATTATTTTCTGTGTAACATGACAAAAGTTAAAGCATTTGAAAAGGTAGTCGGTAAATTGAAAAGGTGAATTAAAAATGTATGTTATTATTGTCATCATCATAGTCATCAAAGTCATCCCTATTTGTGTACTAGTACTTTGCTGTAGTAACTGTCCAATTTGGGAAAAAAAATAGTCCCTCCCCCAAAGCATTAAAAATGTAAATGTAATACAATGGACTACATATAGCTAGAAAAAATGGGAGAGTATAGAAAACATACAATACTGATTATCATGGTAAATGAAGTCCAATGAGCATCTTCATTTCTGATAAGTGTTTTGAAAACACCATGACAAAGGCAAACAGAAGAATGTTTTTGAAGATGTTTATGAAGGAAGTCTCCTAAGTCTGAGGAGAGGATGAAAAAAATAATCATTGTTTGAAAAGAGAAATTATCGAAGTTTGTTCCCTGGGCCAATCAGAGATTGAATACTGATTCAGAATAAAGGGGGGGAAAGGAAGAGGCTATGAAGGACCTTGAAATTGAAATATATGTATAATGTAGATAAATATGTATATTTAAATAGATAGATAAATATACATTATTTATCTATCTCCTAATTCCAGGAAGCAGCAGCATTCTGATACGAGCAAGCAGATTAGACTTGAGAATAGTCAGTTTATGAAATGATGAGAACCTAGTCTAGATTTATTGCTATACAGATGTACAAAAAAGCCTTTATGCTGGACAGAAGGAATCTGAATCTTGGACATAACCTGGATATCAAGTATCTGGAACTTTGATTAGAATTTAAATGCCTACATTACAGATGAATTGCTGTTGGTACTGCTGTCGTTAACCAAGAAAGAAGGTAGTGGGTGGAACTGCAAGGGAAAAAATTAAAAACCTATTGAGCTTGATCTGACATCTAATCATACTTCAGAAGATGTCAGAATGTTTCTTAGACCAACCAAAGCAGGTAGATACAATCTGGAGGTAGATCTGGAGTAGATACAATAGCTCTCTGAGTTGTTGGAGATAGTACTTAATTTTTCGGTTTTGGAGATTGAGAAGTTATACATAAAAATGTAAAGACAGAGAAGAAGATAATGGAAGAGAGGTCATAAAGTGGGGCTGAGAAGAGGTGGGGAGGATAGAGAAAAGATTCTCACAAGAGATGCTTCCCACTACTTTTTGCAAGGGATACAGTGACACTGAAAAGAAGCTTGACAACATTATAAAATGTATGATAAAGATCCACCTTTATTTGGACCTGGCTTAGTAAGAGTATGGCTGATTTAGTATGTGGTTCTTTCAACCCTTTATTTAAGATGACAATAATCATAGATACAGAGAATTTCCTGAGTTTTATCAGTGAGAAGTTCTTGATAATGACAGTTTTTACTCTCAGATTCTTTATGATGTCTAGTTTTATAATGTGCACAAATGAAGAAGCTGGATTGTCGCAGGCAGGCTGGGGCTACACCAAATGAGACACTGTGATGAGACACTGCACAGTGATGCAGAAAGCAACGGGCTGTAACTTTTCTCCGCCAAATCTCTGGGTGTTTGTCCATAGCAGCACAAAAGTTCTAGTTTTCCAGCGTAATGAGAATAAATAGTACTAACCTTATATCAAGTAAGATTTTCAAAAACAAACATGAATGTGAGCAAAAGGAAATAAGCTCTTCTATTGAATAATAGATCTTTCTCTCTTCTATAGGAAAAAATGGAAATGACTGGAACATTCAAACAACAAAAATTTCGACTGGTTGATGAAGGTTTTAATCCATCTACAATTACTGATCCTCTTTATTTTTTAGATAATTCTAAGAAAGCATATGTCTTGTTAACCGAAGAAGTACATGAGATGATCTTATCTGGGAAAATGAAACTTTAATTAACCTAATAATAGGCTATTAAGGGACAGTCTATATGAGCTACTGTATGAGAAAACAGTAACACTAATTACCAGTATTTATACATAGTTATCCAGAATAATATTTTATATACTTGATATTTATATTCAGGTATGTCTTGTATCTTTCCTCACTTGATCATTATTGTTCACTAATCATTTTTTACCTTTTCAGAACAATTTCTAAGTAAATGACCTGTAAAACATGACTGAAATCTGTTTTATCTTAATTTTGGAATATAAATGCTGAGTCTGATCATTTTTCTTAGTACTAAATGAACATGAATGATATGTGGTATGAAACATAGTAAAAAAAGATTGAACATATAAAGATATTGTGACACAAGTTGTTTCTCGAGAGAGAAAATGTGCCAGTAACATCTTTCTTTTTAATGTAGTTTACATTTCATATATACTTCTGAATATATATTTTAAGAAATGAAGACTTGACAGTGGCTGGAAGAAAAAACAACTCTTCTGCAGAGGACTTTTCTGATGGAACATAAGATGAGAAACAGTGAAGCAGAAGAAAGCCCTCCAAACAAACCCAAAACAAAGAGTTTTATACTAACATCACTGCTGAGATTTTTTGTCATAATCCGTGCTCTTTCATTTGTTAAACAGGCTGTTTGGAGTGCCAAATTCTGAAGACAGAGCAAACTTTTGTGAAATGTTTAGCAGCAGATCAACAATAGGCAGAGAAAATGTGCACACTTAATGGGGAAAATTGGTTATATTGCATAAAAAGAATTATTACAGTACTTTGTCATGCATATTGACTAACAAATAGCTTCCTTACTCTTATTAATGACTGCCAGAGATTCTTACGAGTATAAAATATAGCAGAAACTTTAAAACTCTAAATCATATGTTCTAATGCATTGCTTTTTAAAAGTTTTAAAATAAAGTATGAGAATATTTAAACCAAATTCCATACTGCCTCAGTTTGATTTAAGTCTGGTTGCGTAAAGTCTGTTTTGTAGCCTGTTTTGATACAGGACTTGCACAGCGTCCTCCTCTAATGGATCATGAGGCCAGCTTTGATTAGCCAGAAGCAGTATCATGGAATAGTGAAAGGGCGACTGTCTTCAACACTGGGCATCGTAAGTCTCTCTTCTGTCATAACTGTGGTATGAAACCAGGCTCTCATAAAAGAGTAGGATGTAACATACTTAAAAAATTAACTATCTTATTCGTTTCTTTCTACTTTGTTCATCTAACAAGATGTTAGAATTTGTGTCAACTTTTGATTCTCTGATTACCACTTTCATTGATTTTCCTTAAAAACCCAAACCAAGGATGCAGTAAAAAATATATGAAGATTCATAATTCATAGCTTGCTTATATTTCTGAATACCATATTCTTTATGGGACTGCCAGTATAAATAACAAGTTTGCAATTTTGCAACTTACAAAGCAGCAAGACCAAACAATACTTACACCAACATCATGCTGTATGGTAGATGTTAATGTAATTGTTAAGTGCATAATGGGGAAAGGAGAAGACTGCTGGGTAAGGATGGAAGGGGTCACTACAGTCTAGCACTTCCTGAGCAGTGCCACTTTTTCTATTTGTTTCTTTATGTAGTTCCCAAAATGGCTGTCTATAACAGAAGGCTGGGGTGGGGGGGAGGTGCCGCTTATTCAAACAGATGGAAGTACCATTGCTCTGTGCTGCAGATAGTTGCACTTTCCTAGTCAAGAACTGCAAATTTAAGGATCAAGTATTTACCATAAAGTTAAACCCAACTTTGCAAGTCAAGTTATAATTTTGAGCAAAGGACTGGTTGTTGAAATCAAAACTATTTCATTTCTTACATCCATCTTACCATAAGTGTGTGCTGAATATACTTCAGGATCCCTTTTCTTTTATTACAACAGTAAAAATTATGCAGTTCCTATGGCAAATAATACGTTTTTTTAATTAAAAAAAAATTGTACCCTGAGATCCACAGTAGCATGTTTAATCTTGTAGTAGGTTATAAATGAATATGATGAAATCAAATGCTTAGCTTTGGTATCAGATTTACCACTTTTTTGATTTATTTTGCTTTACAATATTTGATACTATTCATGACTAGTGAAAAGGTTCTACCACTTAGAGGCAAGAGAAATGAGAGGGGGAAAAAAAAACATGAGAAAGAAGATAAGGAAACAAGTAAATACTTTTCCATTAAAAAAAAAAAAAAAGGAAACAAAACCCTGTTTGTGAGTGTCACCATTTGGTGGCTTATTTTGTGAAGTATCTAAGATGAAGAAGATTGTTTCTGTGCGGAGTGGTCAGGGTGGAGAGAGCATTAGAGGAAGAAAAATGCATGTGTGCTAACTTCTGTGCTCTGTCCACTACTAGGGCAGCCAGTTGGTGTTTCTGAGCTCTGCGGTTTCTTTCAGCAGCAGCAGCAGGACTCTTCTAACTTAGCTGGCGTGAGCAGCCTACAGGTGTTTGTTTCCCAGCTGTGACCACTAGAGAAATACAGAATTCCAGCTACTCCCCTGTATTCCTTAGTGTAATGAAGACAGCCTGGGCAACCTGCCTGTTTTCAAAGGCTAGTAAAAGAGTCCTGTCCCATGCACCATCTCAAGAGGTAGGATGCTTATGACATCAAGAAAACAATAAAGGGAAAATCTACAGAATCACAGGCTCTGTATTTCCTAAGGGGGAAACAGCGTATTATTTTCAATCCAGTAGTTTTCTTTCTTTTAGCCAGCAGGTTAGGTGCCAGCAGACGCACTGAAGCATGTTGTGGCAAAATGTCACATTTCCCATGGATATCTAAATCGTTGAACTGGCACTGAAGTTAGGCTGAATGATAATGATGTTCATGTCAAACACCAGGAAGGGCCTTCCTTTCAGAATGCGAAAATATTTGGACCAACCTGTTTGTTTCCTACCCTAATACCCAGATCAACATGTGGAAGGGCTGAGGGCTTGAGCGTCCCTGCAAAATTATACCCCAGTATTTGCCTGGGAAGTTTCATTTCATGTAGCAGGGGTAAAGAAGCAGCTGAGGGCGGCTGGGGTGTGGATGGAGAGCTGCACTGCTAACCTCACGTATTAAAAAAAGAAGAGAGAGAGATTAAAATAAATGAAGGTAATTACTTTAGAGATTTAGCGTATATATCTTGAAGTTTTCCTCTGCAACTGGGGATGGTCAATGATGAAAGAAATGTTTATTTTAAAAAAAAGAGATTGGAATTATCATTTAGGGAAGGTAAAATTCTGCAAGGGTAAACACATATCCATTCACTTGTCCTAGTGAATCTGATACAGTTAATACAGTTATAGTCTGGATTAGTTTTCATAAATCTTTCTCAGGATCCCCAGGAAATGGTAAAAAAATACAAAGTCCCTAAGCAGCTCATGGCCTGAATTTTATCCTCCTCACCCAAATCAGGTAGATACAGCTTTTCAAGAGATGAAGCATCTAAACTGTCCTTCACACTCCCACCAGCATTCCCATACCTGTAAGAGCTGCCGTAAAGAATGTATTTCAATTGACCCACAAATGCCCTGCAGATGACATACAGAAGACGTCTTCTACTGCTGGCTTTGCATTATTTTTTTTTTGTGGAGGAAAAAAGAGGTAAAGGAAGGACCAGTCTTGTTTGCATTTTTAAAATTAAAAAATACTGGATGGCTATGGGAAGAAAGACAAAAAAGACCCTCTACTAAAAAAAAAGTGATGATTCATTTTTAGTAGCCTGTCCCCAGCTAACAATGCAACTAGTAATCTGATGCGCATTCTCACACACAGCAGAAATTATAAGACACATACCAGCATTTATGAAGCTTATTCATTAGGTCAAAACTAATTTCAATGAAATAATGTCCTTCTGTTTAGAATTTGACTACCTCAAAAAATGCTATTTACAGTAAAATTAGATGCAAAGATTCAGCAGACAGCCAAAGTAAGTTGCACATGAGTAGGAGTAATTTTAGGAATAATTTTAATGTGGTGTATATCATTAGCAGTACTGTCAATAACTGACAGTATAGTCTGATAATTAATTTCGCCATAAGGGTTACATCAGAAGATCATCAGACTGTGTCCTGGTATTCAGGACATAATACCTTATATATTATATCCTTAATTAGACAAATAGAATATATGATGTAGTCGGCAATGCCAGTTTTAAATAAACTAGGTCATTATCAGTGTGAAATGAAATTCCTGTGTCACTAACAAATCTGCAAGTTCTCCACAGTCCGCGAATCTTTTACCAAAATAGTCTTCATTCAGTTTCTCCAAAGGCTGCATCAGACACCGTTCAAATCAAACAGTCAGGAATTGCTTTTGCAATATAACAAAGCAGTCCTCATTGCTGCCTTGCAGCAGGAGATACACTGACCTGTTTCCACCTGGAGCTGTTCCTGGCACCGCGAGGTTTGCATAGTTCCTGTTATTACATAGTCCTGCATTAGAAGTGGGGGGTTTTGCATTATGTCAGCTGTACCATATACAGAAATAATTCTTACTTATAAAAAGGGCACTTAGATTGGCAAAAAAACACTACTCCTTCATGTTGTCTCCCTTTCTTCAAGTAACTGATACTGCTATGCTGACAAAACTAATAGTTCTTGCAGATATGTATGGACAGTGTTAGCAGTATAGGACTGGCCAAGTCTGGTATGTTTCTCTTCGTGGTGGTTCTGCATTTAGAACTCAACTAAATGGCTCAGTTCACTCAAATAACAAACAAAACAAAACAAAAACCAACAAAAACAAACAAAAATTATAACAAGTTGAGTACTGAGTACTCAATTATTTGAAGCATATTTTGCAAGAAAGGAGTGAATGCCTTGATGGGAGTTCTAATATGAAAAGAGTCCTGCTCATTCAATGCAACCTGCTGAGTACAGATAAACAGAGTTGTCAGTCTTTTACAGTGCTTACTGTATGGAAGGAGATATCTTTGGTTTTAAAATACCGCCTAAAAAAGCAGATTTGATCCAAAAACAGAGAAAATATTTTGGTATAGAG